GGAGCGAGGGGCACTGGGTTGGGACTGGCCATTGATGTTTACAAATGGGTCCTGGTACAAAAAGGATTGAGAACCACTGAACTAGGTTGTTCTGACAGGACAAGGAACAATGGTCTCAAGTTGCAGTAAGGGAAGTTTAGGTTAGATATTAGGAACATCTGTCTCTGGATGAGAGCAGTAAAGCACTGGAGCAGGTTACTCAGAGATGCTCTGGAATCTCCATCCTTAGAGGTTTTTAAGACCCAGGGGGTGCATCTACATGAGAAGCTACTACATGGTCATTACTGCGCATTTATTTAGTACTTGTATTAGCAAGTACTCAATAAATGCGTGGTAACTGGAGTCACTACACAGTAGCAGTGGTGTATTAGCACTGTCTGTGCTGTGACATGCTACTGTGCTGTGCTGTGACATGCCAATGCAAAATATCCAACTCTCCTTATGCTCTTCCACCTTTTTTCCTTTCTCTTCCACACATATCTTTTTCAGCTACTGCCCAGTCAGTGTCTCATGTAGAAGTGCACACTTAGACAAAGCCTTGGCTGGGATGATCTAGTTGGGGCTGGTCCTGCTTTGAGCAAGAGGTTGGACTAGATTGACCTCCTGAGGTCCCTTCCAACCCTCATTTTCTATCATTTTGTGAACCTGAATCCTGGAGAGTTCTGGGTGAACATAAGGTCATAGCCTGAAAGGTGGTTCTGGGGATGCTGGCCTTGGAGATGAGCTTCTTCTGCTTTTAATTTCCCCATTACACTGGGAGAAGAAGCTTGCTGGGTAGGCACCTTTCCCCACCAGTTAGTCCTACTTGAGGTGCTCATGCGAGGCAGGCATCCCTGCCACACATTACATATATTTACTGGTGAATCACACCATAAATGTAGAGGATGCAAAGTCATTATCACAGGATAAAAAGGACTTTCAGCTATAAAAATCACTAGCCAGCTATACAATTAGCACTTGACAATTGTGTAACAGCTCTATAGATGGTTTCTATCCAGCTTTATGCTGAATGTGCAGTAGGACTCAGAAGGACCAATTTGTTCCAGGTGAATCAGGTCCAAAGTTTGTGGGCCCAATTCTGAGGACTGGAAGTTGGCAGGAATGCCACCCAGAGGGAGGGCATTACCCTCAGTTTATAGTAGCGTAAGGGAGATCAGCATCTGAATCAACAGGCTGTCAATTTATGCTGAAGTCTGTCCCAGTTTCCAATGCAAAATATCCAACTCTCCTTATTCAACTCTCCTCGCCTCTCTTTTTTCCTCTCTCTTCCACACACATATATGGTGGTCTGTTCTCCAGCTCTCCAACAAGTGTTGCCTCATGTCCTTTAGGTATGAAGGAGGACATTGGCTGCCACAGTTTCCCTACTTTATCTGTGACAGATTAAGGTGTTCGATCTATGTTGTGTCAGGTTTGAGGGTAGTCTTATGTAGAGTTTAAATTATGGTTTGTATGGGATGGTTTGGATAGGGATGATCCTGCCACAGGCAGGCGGTTGGACTAGATGACCTCTGAAGGTCCCTTCCGACCCTATTTTCCATGACTCTATGTCAGAAATTGCCTTCCCAGTTGCAATAGCAGTACTTCCTTGTCACCCAGATAGCATGGGAAAGCTCTACAGCAAGTAGCTGACGTAGATGGAGTGTGGGCCCCGTACAAAAAGGGGTCATATGGAGAGTTGAGGATACAGAATAAATGGTCCCTAAAAAGACAGCTGATAGCAGAAACCTAAGACAAAAAAGCTGTTGCTACCATGTCTTCAGTTAAAGTTTCAAACAGTCAGCAACAGCATGCAGGACTCTTAGGAGACAATTTGCCAGCAGGCAGCAAGGCTAATACACAGGCCAGCATAGCAGAGAGGAAGAAAAGAAGCACTAGCACTATGGGGGTCTGATGAACACAATGGACACAGATGAGGCACACTACAGGAAACCAATTTGCTCCTACTGCCACTGAGATAGGAAGCATTGCTGCCCACAGACCCCTTGTTCAGAGGTCACTGTGTGCAGCATTCAGTGCCAGAGAAAGTTTCAGAGAGGGAACATGCTCTCCCAAAACAAAATGCCCTCAGACCATGCTTCCCCTTCTTGGCCCCATGGCATATTCTTTAAAGAAGGCTCACATTACACAACCTTGTCCTGGAGTATGTAAGTAGGGAGATCTCTAGGGAAACTGCACTGGAAATCACTTTTCACACATGTTCCCTTCAACACTCTTGTAGTGGATCACATACACTCTTAGGTTGCAGTTAGACTAGTATTTCCTGGAGAAATCCAGTTGTAGCTATAGGAAGAGAGTTAAAGTTGATAGGACACAGGGCCTGCTTAGAATGGGTTTCATACTAGAAGTGCTTGAGCCCTGTCTACACTCACACCTCTGCCATTACTGCCTTCAGTGGAGCTGGCTGAATGGTTATACTACAGAGCGGGATTTCCTGAAAAAAAGGTGCTTTAGGTAAGGCTATGGAGCTTAATCTGTTTTACCAGTAGAACCATAATGGGTGAATGGGTTATTAATATGGCTGTTCCCTGAGCCACTTGCAACACACTTCTAGTTTGTGTTGTACGTGGAGCCTCGTCTTATTTTTACTATGCCTCTTTCTAAGACATTTATGTGTTTTGGATTATGGTAATGCTACTATGCTACAAAATAGAGATATGA